TATCACAAGTCTCCTCTTTACAGATGAGGGAACCGAGGCAGAGGGAGATAAGGGTAAGGCTGAGCTTTTGCTCCTAGCTGTGGGTAAGGACTGGAAATGGGTCCCGAAGCCTGCTTTCCCCTTGTTCCCAGGCCCTGACCAGTACAGCTCCTGCTCGGCATGCTTGCTTAGCCATACATTGGGATTGCAACAGTGGCATAACTAGGACATGGCAACTGGGCAACTTCGGGATAGAGACAGGGACGGTGCGTGTGTGTGTTGGGAGGGAGGGGTTGTGAAAAAGCCAGCTGCCACCACAGCTGCACAGTCGCACTGGCACCACAGCAGCAACTGTAAGTCACCACTGCCCTGGGATGTGGCAGCTGCCCTGGGTGCCCAGCTGTGTTGCTACGCCCCTTTGGATTGCAGATTTGTGGATTCACAAATTCATGGCCCTTCACCCCTGCCCCAGCCACTTGCTGGGGGAACGGGAGGGGAGGAAAATATACCAGGCGCACAGCACATGCTGTCCTCTCTGCATCCGTAGTTGTAGTTGGTGGAGGGGTATAACTTGCACCGCTTGCCACATAGGGCCAGGCCATGATCTGGCCTCATGTGATGCACAATATCGAGTCAGCAGCTGGAACCAGAGCTCAGGAATCCCGATTTGTGGGTCTCTCCTCCAGCCACCAAGCCACATTTCTTCAATGACTTCCTGTATGGCCATTGCAGACAAACTGGTTCCTATCAAGTCCCAGAATAAAGTCCTGTTGAAATACAGGCTTCCATCTTTTTGCTGTATCCTTCCATTTGCTCAGGGCAGGGCATGCACAAAATAAGTAAATACTTTCCAATTTAATCTTTTACAAGCATGACCAGTAGTCTGAGCGTCCATCAGGAAGGGAGTATAATGTAGTGGGGACACCAACGAGGCATGTAACTGCACTAATATAGTCCAGCTCCAGCCCAGACAGTATCTCATGCTGGAGCCAGCTTTGCCCATTTGCTGGTCTTTTATTTGAATTTGAAATGATAGAGACATTACCCACAGCTCTAGGTGCCCTAATACCATTAATAGCACAATTAAATCCCAGCAGCATTAAATGATCATTTCAACTGCAGCTCAGCTGGCTGGAAATATGAAGCAGCTTCTTTCTGCCCCTTTATCACTGTGGGAAGTCGCTCTCCAGCCTTCTCCAAACCCTTTCTAGCAGACGGCTTTTGCAAACACGTTCAGAAGATCGTCCAACCTGGCCTTTCACAGCAAGCTCCTGCATGACACTGCCCTCAATGAGAAAGGGCCTCTCTGATAATAAGAGGCTGAGTAGGATCCCCCTGTTCTGGCTCTTGCACTATTACATTAGGAAGGGCGGGGGGGACGACCCTGCAGGTCAGCCGAGTTTTAGGGCTGGCTAAATCATCCTCACTAAGTCCCACTCCACATATTGGTTAATGGGCAAACAGAGCAGCCATGCCAGCATAGAGCCACTTCTTCTTTAAAAACACAAGTCCTAGGCTTAATTCCCCCCCCTCAAAGCTTTCCTGTCCCGTCTCCCTCGTTCTTTCCACTGGATTTGATCTTTACTCGTCCGTCTCACGGTAGCTTCTCTCTTCCTGTTATTCTGTGCTCAAGTTAATTCAAGAAGTCTTACATGGTTAGAGGATTTTAAACACTGGGCTATAGTTTCCCCCTTCCCCTTACCTTTTCTTTTCATGACAGTAGCTTGAACAGTTTGGCTTCTGCTTTTTCAAAAGTTGGAAGTTACAGGAACGTCTTCTCTGGTATTTCCTGGTTGGGCTGAAGAACGTACCAGACACCTTGAAGGTTGTATTTAGTTATCTCTCACTTCAAACTTGAAAGGCTGTAGTTACGGAAACTATGACAAAGCCTTCCTTGCTCCCGAATCCTTAGTAGTCTCCATATTTAAGTTAATTATAAATTGGCATGAAAAGAACCAGTTAGAAATCCCTCCTGTTCTTAAAATTCACTTTCTTTACTCTTGTCCTCCATCCTGACTTTTCCAGTCAAAGAATGGGTCAATCTGGACAGGACAGTGAATGTTCATTACAAAATTTAGTCTAAATGTAACAAGGAAATCGAACTTTTCAGACCTCTTCACTACATCAGAAAGCACAAGCTCAATTTTTTCCCCCTTTTTGCTCATCATTTTTACAGCTGTCTTGCAGACTGTTGCCTACTCTGTACAAGGAATCCCATTTAGTAACAAGTTCTGGCTAAAACAAAATCAAGATATGAGTGTGCTATCCCTCCTGTAGGACGGGGGTGTTAAAGGGTCATGCCCACTTCTGTTGAAACAACAGAAAGAAGATGTCTCAATAAATATCACATATCATGATCTTTCACTGCCCATGAGTTTCTATTTGTGGCTGTTTCCCACTGACGCATTTTATTTAGGCTGTACGTGCCACCAAGCGGTGACCTGTATTTTTAAAGAGGTCGGTGAGGCTCTATGCACACTTGTGGCACTATAAAAAAAATAATACCACCCTTCTAATGTGACAGAGATCACAAATTCATGAGCTGTCTGGTACAAAAGGAATTGGGAGGAAGGAGACTGTAGGGAAACAAAGTTTGAAATGGTAATGTTTATCTTGCTGCCTGCCTCCCATAAGCTCGTGGCTGGTTTGAGTTGCGTGGTCAGAGGTGGGCAGAGTGGGGGCAGCTTCCCATGCCAGCCAGCCGGAGACATTCCTGCAATTCCCATGGCAGCGCCTTCTGGAATATATTGCTGCAGCCTCCCACGTGAAGAAGCTTGACTCTTGAAGTCCTGTTCTGCCAGTGCAGTATAGATAGTAACTGCACTTAATAAATCCAATTACTCAAATAAGTGACCACGCAATTACATTTCAGTATCACCCCATGTCATCTGCAGGGGGTGCTGGTCCTCCTTCAGTGCTCACATGTACTACAGATTCCCTGTGTCCCATGTAGGGAGGACAGCTACTTTGTCTTATACTCACACGTCTGCAAAAGACTATGGGATAAATTGCAAATAGCTTGGGTTACCTGCTAATCTCAGTTACGCTGGTGCAAATGCAAAGCAACTTTTCTGAAAATCAGGGGGGTTATTCTGGATTTACGTGGGAATAACTGAGACCTGGCCTTTTGCCAAGGAAAATATCATTCTGCTTAACTGGTGTTTATCCACCCACCAGTCTCCGGGAGAGGCATGTGTTTTGCAAAATCCAGGGAGCGACTGTGATCTTCCAGGGGTTAGTACGGCACGGAGTGTTTCTAAACTGACAGAGAGGAAAGGTCAAGGGAGAAACCATAATGAACAGAAATGCCTTTGCAGAAAACACCCTGTATTTAAAAGGTATGTGTATACGTGCCTTTCTGCAAGCAGTACATGGAGGGTGTAGTCATTTCTTGTAGTGCTCTATACAGGGGTATTAGCACATCAGCAGAGAAATATATCATCAAAAGACCCACAAAAGCTAAAATATATCCTGTTAATAACCACACAGGAGGACAGAGACTTCTGTGGGGGCTAGTTCTTTTACATTACAACCAAGTCTGAGCTTAAGATATCATTTGTGTGTTACAGGGCTGATAACGGGTCCACAGAAGCATGCTTTTCCAGCACAGGACTTACAGCATCGCCTCTTGTACTTATTGCAATGCAAGTCTTCTGATGCAGTTGTCTAGACTCAATTAAGATCCAGCACCAGGAAAGCTTGTGTACCGAGGAAGAAATAAATTAGAGCCAGGCATCCGGGTGAGGGAGATTCCTTGTCTTCCATCAATGCTGACCTTGTGAAGGAACACCTTGAGAGGCTGGACACCTTCAAGTCAGCCCTGATAGTCTTCACCCCACGGTACTCAAGGAGCTGGCGAGCATCATAGCCCAGCCCCTGACATGGATCTTTGAGAGCTCTTGGTGAAGTGCCCGAAGACTGGAAGAAGGCCAATGTGGTGCCTATCTTCAAGAAAGGGAGGAAAGTGGATCTGGCAAACTACAGGCCCATCAGCCTGACCTCTATCCCGGGGAAGGTCTTAGAAAAGATTATCAAAGATGCCATTCTTAATGGACTGGCTGATGCCAACATCCTGAGGGATAGCCAGTACGGGTTTGTTGTGGGTAGGTCTTGCTTGACCAATCTTATTTCCTTTTACGACCAGGTGACCTATCTCCTGGACAAGGGAGAAGAGATTGATGTGGTATATCTTGACTTTAAAAAAGCCTTCGATCTGGTATCCCATGATCACCTCTTGGCAAAACTGGCTAACTGTGGCCTCGGGTCCACCACGATCCGCTGGCTGGGAAATTGGCTCCATGGTCGGACCCAGAGGGAGGTGGTTGACGGAAGCCAATCGTTGTGGTGCCTGTGACCAGTGGTGTCCCCAGGGCTCTGTCCTTGACCTATTTTGTTCAACATCTTCATTAACGATGTAGACATTGGTATTGGAGAGGCTGAGAGCTATGGGACTCTTCAGCCTGGAAAAGCGCAGGCTCAGGGGCGATCTGATGGCCACCTATAGGTTTATGAGGGGTGTTCACCAGTATCTGGGGGAACGTTTGTTCACCAGTGCACCCCAAGGGATGACAAAGTCGAACAGTTATAAACTCCTGCAAGACTCTTTCAGGCTGGACATAAGGAAGAATTTCTTTACTGTCCAAGCCCCCAAGGTCTGGAACAGCCTGCCATTGGAGGTGGTTCAAGCACCTACTTTGAACGCCTTAAAGAGAAGTTTGGATGTTTATGTTGCTGGGATCCTATGACACCAGTTGACTTCCTGCCCCTGGGGCAGGAGGCTGGACTTGATGATCTTTCGGGGTGCCTTCCAGCCCTAATGTCTATGAAATCTATGATTCCCTCAGCTGCAGGTTAGCTTGTGCAATATGACACCTGTGAGAATGCATATAGCTCTTGCCTGACCTGTGAGAATGCATATAGCTCTTGCCCGACCAGCCACTTCTCTTCATCTTCTCTGCATACCAGCATCATCTCTCACCCTCAAGTTCCACAGAGCACAGGGAACCCCCTCCATTTCTCACCCGGTTTGATGCCCTGTGCTCTTTTGGCAACCCACTTACAGGACCCATGATGCCACAGGAACAGTAGGGGTGCAGCACTCCTATACTGGAGGGATGTTAAGGAATTAATTCTCTGCTATGGCCTGCAAGGTCCAGACTCAGACAGGACCATGCCCTGGGAAGAGCTTTCAGTTGGGGATGAGAAAAACCCATCACAACTGAGAAGTGACTGGACCTCTAGAGCACACACAGAAGTGACAATTGTCATCTCATCTGGCCACAGAAAGCAGTTTATAGCCATGACCAAACACAGGCACACAGCTACAGATAGTTTTAAAAGTGGTCGATGGAGTGAAAATCTGAATCCACGTTGCATGAAGGGTCAGATGAAGTTTCAACACCGAGCGTCTTCTGAAACTTCTGTCTGCGCTGCTAAGGGTAACTAGACTCAGGTCTGGTCTTGCTATTGCCACTCATCCTCAGGTGTCCCTCGAGGAGACCAGACAACTTCATCTTCACTGTATTTTAAGAAGCAAAGCCTGGTGCCTTGTCCCAGTGCAGCACAGCTCATTTTCCAGATGGGTGGTATCATGACTGTTTATCTCCTCTTTGGGGAGCAGAGTGAAATCATGCCTGTTATGTGTACAATGGTGGTCTGGGATTTCCAGGCAGAAAGCCGCTAACTAGTGAAACGTGTCCTGAGATCAAGCAGGTAGGAGCACAGACATACAGGAAATAGCCGAGTGCCGGTGTTTGCCTATATGGGCAGCCAACTATAACTGAAGTCAGACGCCTGGTGGGTGCCATAGTAACAGCCATTTTAAAGTGATGATGGGATTAAAAAAAAAATCCTAACATGGCTGTATTTATGGGGCAGAGAAGTTGCAAAAGTAACTCTCCTTCCCTGAGCTTGATCCTCCTCACCTTAATTTCCACTGACTTTGTTGGAGTACTCGGCATCTTGCAGTCCAGAAAAGCTAACTTATTTCTACCTGGAGTTTAAGTTTCTACAGAAACTTATTAAGGGTATTCTTGCCTCAAGAAGTGCTGTGGCAAGTGGAAACGTCCAACAGGACAGATTGGACTCCCCGAGTTTGGCCCAGCGCTCCCTCTACTTCCCTTCATGTGCCAGGCCGCCTGTTACAGCTCCCGAGATTAGCTTGATTAGAGGGGGCACTATTTAATAGAGCTCCTAGAACCATGTTTCTTATTTTTGTGTTCCTTATTTTGAACCCTCCGGGTAGACTTTGGACTCCGAACCATTACTGCCCCCAAGTGGAGCCTTAAAGATGCAAGCAAAGCCTATTTAGAGGGGCCCCCATCTGAGATTGCAGGCCCCAAAATTAATGCTGTCAATTATTTTTGCTTGGGGCTGGTATAGGAGAAATGAAAATGTAAACGCAACTCGGGCTTTTTATTCCTGTTCAAATTAAAGGCAAAGAAAGACCCAAAAGACACCCTTCTCGCGTGTCTCCAAACTGCAAAACTGTCAAAAGTTTAATACAGAATTATTTATATTGAACAGAACTGAACGGCCCTTTATATCCCATCACTCTGTACAGTTTCTTCTTCTTCTACCATCCTCAGTCCTGTTTAGATTAACACTCTGGTCTAGGGATTGTGTCGTACTAAGTATTTGTTCAACATCTAGGAGCCTCAAATCTCAGCCATTTGGCCACTACTGCATTAAAAACACTTAATTAAGGTTCCCTAATTGCTGAAGTTTTTAATACTAAAAGGCAAGAACATGTATTTATGAACAGTAAACCTCTCAGAGGGAGGTTGGAAGGAACAGTCTTTCCTTGGACTATGCAATCACATCACAACATTTAGGAATAAGCCTCTTTCAGGGTATAATAAATCCAAGCTGCCACACGGGAGCTAAATAACAGTCCCCATCTCTAACTAGTGTGGAACACAGCTACTATTTATTCCTGTTTCTGATCCCTAGATTCTGCAGTGGTGGGTGCTGAAGAAGCACAAGGATTAGACAGACAACTTTCCCCTTTAATTTTGTAAATAGAGGACATCCCCTGCTAGGAAATTTACTGCTCTCGGATCATACTATTTTACCGAATTGTTTCTAGTTACCGGAGAAAGAAGCTGTGTGTTAGCCCAGCATGTAGTAAACAGGAGAAGGACAGACCCCTTTTTAAAGCTAGCTTGTCCAACAGAACAGAATCAGGATTTTTTTCCCCCCTGTGTTTTTGCTCTTGAATTTCAAGGTGAATGATCTCATCAAATAACTTCTGTAGGTGAGTAAATAGCCTAGCCAGCATGAGACTGAGAGGACAAGATTCAACTGATCACAACATGAGGCAGATTTGAGGTTTTGAACTGAGTAAGGTTGGAAATGTGTGAGAATTTCCTTTAATGTCATTTGGGGGCAGGGTTTTGTTCAGCAGCTGCTCCATGGCAGGTCCAAATAGCGAAAAATTTTCCAAGGATAAAGATTAAAAGCCTAGATACCACACTGAAGGGCTCTGTGAATCCAATTAGATGGAGAGACGCATAGAATAAAATCAGTGTTTAAGGCTTTATGTGGAAGAAAGATGGAAGTGATGTTACCCATGGGGCAATTAGACACGTGATCAGACACACACAACAGCAGATGTTTTGCACATGCAAATAGATGCATCAGCAAGTTTTATGAATGCCTTCTGTGCAGCCCCTTTGAAAATGTGGCCCACCATAGCTAGGATTTTGATGTCATTTCTTCCCCCATTTCTGGGAACAGGACTGCCAGAAAACATCTTGCTTAATGGATACCTAATTATACAGGTGAGAAGGATTGGCTTTCTATGCTCTCAGGTGTAAAAATCAGCTGACTGCAATAGAGCTGTTCCTAGTTTACAACAATTTTACAACCGTATGCAAGCTCAGAATCACTGCCCAGCTTTCCCGTAAGTTATGATGCCAAGGGTTTTTCATGAAAGTTTAACACTTACAAATTTGTCATGACTCATGCTGTTGAAGAACTGAAACCAACTATACTGTAATAACATCCAGATCCCAAACCCAGTGCATCAGTAGCTTATTTTAAAAGTAGCATGTTGTTTAGAAAATAGTGAAAGGGTTAAAAATGTCTACTTATGTCACTTAGGAATTCAGTGACAAAGCAGAATGACTGTGATTTACACACCCAGAGTGTAGGAGATAGAGATGCAAGAGAAAAAAGCACTTAGTAAGTTAGTAAGAGGTACAAGATTTAGAGGCATCTGCCTTGCCATTAACTGCTTTTCTTTGCTGCCCCCTCACTCCACTGTGTTTGCATTTACGTGACAAGTGTGTACCTGCTGAATTTTATTGGCTTATATTAAGAATTTCTGACCCCGTGGCCTGAAACTAGTAAGACTCTGGTCATATCAACACAGGTGTAAATTCAGATTACCTCCAATGAAGTCAGAGTTGCTTTGGATTGGCACCAGTGGCATGGGTATCAGAATCTGACCCCTTCTGAGATAGCAGAAAGCAGCACGGCAACCTCTGACTTTAGCACTGCTTGTTACCCTCTGTTTCTCACTGTAATTTGCCTTACACTTGACAGTACCTCTTGGGAAGAAAGGCTGAGAAAGTCATTAGGCTCTTAAGGGAGATTCAAACTGCAGAAGAAAGCAGATTGAAAAGGCAAAAATGAGCCTCTGGGTGGGGGGCGGGGGAAGAGAGAGAGAAAGAGAGTAATTCAAAAACCATCTCTCAAATGCACCTTTGCTAATGAGTGTAATCTCACATTACCGGCAAAACACAACAGCTTGTCAGAGCAATCCAATCTATCTCCAGGATAAAGTGGACCTGAACAGCACAGGCTGGACAAAACCACGTATCAGAAATCAAGAGTCATCAACCAGCCTCTCATAGGCCTGAGAGTTAGGAGACCAACGTTTGGCTCTGCCAGACTCAGTTTGCAGGATAGTCACGTCTCTGTTCTGTGCTCAGTTTCCACTTCCCTAACTTGTGGAGAATACTACTAACGGTGCTTCATTAAGGTAAGAAGAAAACAGCTTTTAAGAGTGCTATAGAGTTGTGCAGTATTATTATAACTGTCATAAGATGACAAGTACATTCCACCTGTAATAGGGTCCCACCCCAGGGGTGGCTGTGACAGCCCCCCAGCCCCTGTCACCTTTACTTTCTTTGTTAGAGCAATCTCCCGTTTGCTTGCCTGCCATACCTTGATGCAATTATGGCTTTAGAAAAAGGGAGGCTGCCCCAGGGCTCCCCAAGCAAGACCTCATTCTCATGAACGCAAGTGTCCATGCTCATCGCCTTAAGGGCTAATTTACATGGCCTCCTCATCTCCCCTTATAGTCACATCCAAGCCTTGCAGGTGTTACCAATCATTGGGCATGTTAAGCCCCTTCATCCAATCCAGCCACTCCCTCATCCATTAGCCTTCAGCCCCAATGTCAGCTCCAATCAATGTTGGCCCCTAAACCTGGAACAGTCTCCAGCACTGTTGGGGCTTCCAGCCCTGGTGCCTTTAACCATCTCAGTCCCTCCTGGACTTGGGCCTCTGTACCTCAAACAATTTCAGCCTATTTTGGGTTTAAGCCTGCATCCTCTACCCCTCCTGGGCTCAGGCTTTTGTCTCTTGAACTATACCTACAACTCCTTCCCAGTCCCTCAAGGGCCCAGGTCTGCATTCTCTGCCTCTCCTGGGCCCATGCCTCATTACCTCCAACAACTCCATGCCTCGCAGGCCACGGGCCCCCTGGCCCTGCTGGCTCTCACTCTTCAGCTGTGGCCCTGCTCCTTGGCCTTCGCCCCTATCCATCAGGCCCTAGCTCCATTCCCGGCCAGTTGAGACCAACCTCCACTGTCCCTACAGTCTCAATCCCTGAACCACCAGTCTCACCTACCCCAACTCAGGTGTTAATCAGAAGCCTTGCTGCAGCCCTTCTACTCAGGAGCACCTCACTCCATGGTCTCCAGGATCAGATCACCTGCCCAGCTCAGGCCCTGGGTTTATATCCTGCAAGCCCAGCACCTTTTAGGTCACATGGCTTCTCTAACTGTCCTCTGCTTCAACTGCAGCTTGCTTCTCCTGCAGCCTTTCCTTAAAGTAGCAGGAGCACCAACTCCCTGCTTTACCACCCTCTCCAGTCACTGAAAGATTTGTACAGTCCACCTTTCAAAGTCTCAAGCCATGTTGGGGGGCTTCCATTTCGTCTCTTGGGAGAACATACAATAGCTTAATACATTTCAGCGTCAGCAAGTTACAACTGATGCATAGCTCTAATTTATCTTTCCTTAATTTGATGCCATGACTGGCATCCCTATTTCCCTCTTCACTTCCCAACAGCCCCGTTTCCTTCTTGTGGTTCAGACAGCTTCAGACTGTGATCGTGGCGCGCTAAGCCAGGCTGGAACGTCTATGCTGACATTTGGAAGCGGATCCAGGGCCTCAATTGGGACAGGGATCACAGCAGATCTACCCAGCCTGCACTGCCACCTTTACATCTCTCTGAACAAAACAGTGCTAGGGTTACGCACTAGCAACTCTGTTCCTCCACGCCCCTGCATCTTCCTTCGATGACAGTGGCCAATCAGCTATTCTTGCAGACAGCAGAAATTT